CCCCCACCCCCCGCAGGGAGCAGCAGCCACGCCCACTTCAAGGACGGTCCCTGCCCACCTCCCCGGCCAGTCCCTCTGCTGGGTGGGGTCTCAGTCAGAGAAGAGCAGGCCGCGTGGTCCGACAGACCCAGCTCAGACCCAGCCCCACCACGCGGCCTGCTCCTCTGCCTCAGTTTCCCCAGCCGTAGGGCGGGGAGGTGGGTACAGCACTCCAGCAGGCCTCCGCTGTAGCGTAGGGCCCTGGGCCCCCACCTGGGAGACCACTCGTCCTGCATCTCTGTGGCCCCAGGCCAGACGCGGCTCCCCCTTGCCCGCACGTCCACAGGCGACACCTCCCCAAATGGCCTCAGACAGTGGGCCTCCGAGAGGGGAGCAGAGGGATGGCTGGAAGGGACCAGAAGCCGTGGCAATGGGAGGGCGTGCGGGGCGGGGCAGGATGGTTGACAGCCGCGCTGCTTGCTCAGCCTCCTGGTCTGCGGTCTGCACAGCAGGGGCAGCCCACAGGGCCAGGGCTGGGACACGCTGCCCCTCCCGCCCCCTGCCAGGGCTCGGCCTGGCTGCCCACCATGGCCCCACGCTGGGAAGAGCAGAGTTGGCACTGGCGGCCCCTGCCCGCTGTGCACTCTGTCCCCCCACCCAGCCTCCCAGGCTGCTGCGGGAAACCAGGGAGCGGAAGGAGCGCCACACCCTGCCCTCGGTGGTCTCTGGGCAGCTGTGGGCAGGAGGTGGCTTCAGGCCAGGAGGCTGCGGGGAGTCCCCAGAGGCCGAGCAGGCTCGTGCACACGCCCCGCCCACTGTGCACGCTGGGCACACACACTCCCGGGCTCGCACCCACAGGTGCCAACACGCTTGCCCTCCCCGGCTGGGCCCTGGAGCTACCATTGCAGTCACCGGGAAGCAAGGGCCAGTTAGTGCCCACCAAGCCGGAGGGAGGCCAAGGCGGTGATGGCCCTGGGACTGCGGGGACAACCCGGCCCTCCCAGAGCTGGCCCACCGCACGTTAAACTTTCTGAACGGGAAAGGGCAGGGCCCTTGCTGTCCCCAGAGCCAAGGTCCATGAAGGGAAGAGGGAAAAGCAGAGGCCAGGGGGCAGGGTGGCGGCCCTGGCAGGGAGAGGACAGGCCACGAATGGAACCGGTTAACAGTGACTGTGGACCTGGGGTGCCACCAGCTAATCCCCCGGCAGGCTCAGCCCTGCCAGGCCTGAGTCCCATGGCCCTGGCTGCAGCCCCGGCCCTCTCCAGGGCAGACCCCCGGGGCCAGCGCAGGCGCTGGGGCTCTGCGGTGCTCGGGCGCTCTCCGCCCCGTGTCCGCCCCGTGTCCGCCTCGTGTAATGCACACGTCTCCTCTAATGAGGTGGAACAAACAGCGCGAACCAGAATCTATCCCCAGGAAAGCACGCACCTGGACACAGCAAACATGGCGCTATCACCCCTCCGAGGCGAGGCGCTCCTGGCCAGGACCTCGGTAGAGCCGCCTCCCAGCTCCCGGCTCCCGGCCCGGCTGCCTCACCAGAACAGAGCGGTCTGGGTCTTGGGCTCCTGGCAGTCCAACATGCGTAAGTGGCCCTCATTAGCCCAGGAAGAGGAAGGCAGGGGGACAAGCACGCGCGCCTCCCAACCCAGGCCTTCTTTCCGTGAAGAAATCGGCTTCCTTAGAGCGTGGCTTCTTTAGCAGAGACCCTGCTGGAGAGCGCCTGCCATGCGGCTCAGAGGGGGCAGCTCGGCTCTGCTCAGCCGGGTGAGGCTCACTGCCTCCCCCCACCCCCCGATGGCCCTGACTCCTTAGACAGACTGGGCTGCTCGACCCTCCGGGCCCGATGGGCGCCCAGGGCTGGGGCCACCCGAGTCCTGAGGAAGAATACACAGTGAGGCCACAGGCCGTGGAGCCCGGGGTGCAGTGGCAGCAGACCCAGGGCACCCCCCCCGGCGGTGGGCGCCGGGGGGCCGGTGGCCCCAGCCACAGGCCACCCTGCCCGGGGTCGGGCCTGGGCCCCACCCACTGGGCCCTAGGCGGAGGGCCAGCCTCTCCTGTGACCAGAGCTGGCAGGGCAGAGGCTCAGGCTCCCCCGTTGTTGTTTTCGTTTGCTATAGGGCACATACACTCCTGGGGGCAGAATGTGAGCACCACTGGGGGATGGCCACGCCACAGTCCCTTCTGTGTTCCTCTCAGGATTTTGGGCGTGCATGCACATGTGCTTAGTGTCCAAGCCTCCGGGTCTGGGACTCTAACGGGCGACCCAGCCGCCTTGATCACACGCCCCCTACTGGCCTGGGCTCACACACCCATTCTTAAGTCCAAATCCCAGCCCTGCACGGCAGCCGGCCCAATCAGAACTCAGGCTTCTCTCTGGCAAGGTGGAGAAGGCCCTCCATCCCAGGCCAGGGACACAGGGACAACACCCTGTGGCCTTGCAGGGAGTTGGGAGACAGGGAGCCTGTTCCCTGGCCATCGAGCAGTGGAGGCAGGAGGAGCCCGCGTGGCCGCGTGTCTCCGAGGACGGGGACAGAGCCTTCGGCTGGCGATTTTCTTACCAAAGAACAGCTGCTCAGAGTCCCCCCAGCGTCCTCAGGTTCATGCCGAAGAAGTCACTGTGGGGTGGCCGGTCTCCGGAAGCCCTGTTTCAGGTGCTGCGTGCTAAGCCCAGTAACCCAGTGAAGAGGAAGCCCAGGACAGAGCTGACAGCTGGAGCGGCCTCTACGCCGAGTGTCTGAGCCCGGAGGGCAGCCGTCCGCCCGTCGTGGGAATGTACGGGTGGCCCGTGGCGGGCGGCCATCCTCGCACGAGCTCCGGGTCACCCAGCTGCCAGCGCCTGCTCGCGCGTCCGGGCAAGGGCAGTCTTTACTGTAAGTAGTCCCAAGCCAGAAACGTGGGTTTGGAGAGGTGCAGCTGCTACCGGGGAAGGAGGACCCTCTGCAGCTCACAGTCGGGTTGAAGGAGACGTCCCGAGGCAGACACAGGGCGGAATGTGACTGCGTGTGGCCGTTTCTGCGGAGACAGCTTCCCCCCACGTCATGCTCGTTATCGAAGAGAATCGCATTGAGACGAATTAGAGGCTAAGTAAACTCAGTCTCACCAGACTTGGCCTGCTCGTTTGCTGAGCGCAGCTGGTCATGCGGGCCCTCCTCGAGGAGTCGGAGAGAAGCGGAATGGCGAGACTGCACCCAACGGGGCCTTGAAACCACAATCCAGCGCAGCTTCGGCCAGCCAGGGTCACGGACGTGCGTGGCCGGGCATGCTCAGGGGGTCTGGGTGCGAGCCTGACCCACCCGTGTGTCTCTGGCCTGCCACTCTGGCCCTGACCACCTCGGCTTTTCAAGTCTGCTTTTCTGGAACTTTTACTAAGGCATCTCAGATTGGGCCTTTAAGTGCCTCTCGAGGGCCAGCCCCATGGCCTCGTGGTTAAGGGAGCCAGCTCCCACACAGTCGACTGCACTTCAAATCCCAACTCTGGTGGCTTAGGAAATACTCCCAACACGATGAGAACTGAAGGAGCAGTGACTTGGCCACACCCCACTGGGGAGTGCGTTCAGCCTCCCTCACTGGCTAGTCCACACTCCCACTGGTTAGTCCACACTCCCGCTGGCTAGCCCACACTCCCACTGGCTAGCCCACACTCCCGCTGGCTAGCCCACACTGCCGCTGGCCACACACCCACTGGTTAGTCCACACCACC